GCGTGCCTTCCTACTTCTCTCGTTATCCACCGCCGTCGCCGCTGCACCTCCGTCTCCACTTATCCTCTCCCGTGCTCTCGCCTCCTCCTTTTACACCTCCTTTCCTCCCCAGTCTCGTTTCTCTTCCGTGGAAAGGGGAAGGACCGCATTCCTGCGCCGATGGAAGATGCGGCCGAAGCGATGGCAGGAGGAAGAGGGCGCCCGAGGAGTGAATAAGAGAGAGGAAGGCGGAGGATGATCCTGGCGGATGAGCGAGAGGGGAAAGGGGTGGATAGAATGAGTGAGGAGTCTGTTATGAGGTCTTTGAATACCGACGCGGGCAGAGCGAGCCGGGAAAGGTGAGAGACGAAAAAGACGAGGAGCCGAAGGAGGAGAGCGAAGGTGGAGAAGGTGGAGAATGAGCGGTTCAATGAATTGGATGGAAAGGGGTTCCTCAACTCGGAAGGAATTAGCAATCGGGCCATCCCACCGAGGGATTCGTTTCTTGCGACGGGAAATCCTGAAATTTCGAACTTCTCTCGCGATGGACCGTGCGCGGCGATCGTCATAACGCGCTCTCGCATAACGTATTTTTCTAAGCAAACGTATTCGGATTGTTCGACGATTGTCGCGCGACACTCGAAACGTAAACTCGGTCCGTCACTTGCAGCGAGAGTCTCGGAAGCTGCGCTATTTAAATATATCGTCGCACTCCTCGCGTCGAAATCGCGAGTCGAAAACGAAGCTTGTCTTCGCCGCTAACTTCGTCGGCGATATTCTCCGCTCGTGACAGCGGAAAAAAGGGGGGAGCACCATGTGAAATCATCGTCTGGCCTCTCGAAACGCGTGGCACGCCTGACAAAAGAAACAGTAAGGATGCGTCTGCGTGAATCAGTGGAGGTCTAGACGCACGAGGTCATGAACTCAATGCAATTCAGCCGCAGCGTTTAAGAAGCTCTTCTCCTTCACCGTTAACGTGGGCTACGCGAGGATAAATAAAGCAGAAGCGTCCCGCCGCGAGCTACAAATGACGGGAATACAGCGCCGAAGACAAAAGGAGGAGAAAAGCTTGCGTTTCCAGCTCAAACACACTCGAACTTCTCTCGAATTTCTTTTGAAAAGAGACAAGAATGTAAACATCAATGCATTGCGAGGCTAGTGAAGGCTATTATAAACTTGTCTTTTAGCGATTCGCAAATATGTCAATTATTTTGCATATGAAATATTATCTCTGATATAATGTGACTTTTCAAGTATGAAAGCGCGGATAAAGATGAGAAATACTTTTTTACCATGCGTGAAAGGATATCCAGGATGTCTAGCGAGGAGATTGGCAAGCGAAATTATCATACGCGAGACGCGAGTGTATGAAGCTGAAATCGCAGCTACATGCTATATTATGTGGCAACTACTAAATCTTCGCGATGATATCAAAACAGCCTCCGCGATAAGCCCGGGCAATGAAACAATCGCGTCGTAATTAAAACCGCATCTCGTTAAGTAACGTTCTCATCTCCGTTTGCTCGTGTCCCGGCAAGGTAGCCGGGAGAAATCTCTCGGGCGGTAAACTCGAGGCGCCCTCCGTAACGGCCGTGAATTACGAGTGAGATAATTACGCGCCCTTGCAGAGAGCAAGAGAATGCATCTCTCCTCCGTGCAACAGTGTTCCCCCGAGCTGCGCTAATCCGCGTAGAACAAGTTCGGCGCTCGAGGAAAGAGGACAAGGATAGCTTGCACGCGGGCACACCGGCCTGAAAACACCGGCGCTGAGTTGAGATGCGAACGGGAGCGAACTCGCTAAGAAATTATTAGCGCGGAAAATTCGCACGAGGCCTGTCGTCTGAATTTTTCATGAAAGACAAGAGAGACTCGTGGGTCGAGACTATTTTGAATAATCGTATTTTTATTCCTTCGCGATCGTATAAAGGTCAAGCGGTATCAAAACTGCTCAAGTGTATTCGCGATCTGCGCAATATTCAGATCACACGTCGACCTCCGCCGACCCTTCGGCCCGGTACGAAGGTTCATTCGCGAAGACTCATGACCGATTCGCCCCCGGACGTAGACGCGCCGCGGAAATTTATCGCAGCGAGTATCCGCAGTCATAACACGCAGCTTAACGTCCGGTGAGGGAAGGGAGGGGAAGAGAGAGAGAGAGAGAGAGAGAGAGAGAGAGAGAGAGAGAGAGAAGAA